GACCTGGGAGTCTCAGAGAGAAGATGCGAGAGCCTCACTGCTCGGTTGAACACCCCACTCCCAGGAAAGTGCCTGGGCCAGAGAGCTGCTGAGCCTGATACCCGGCAGCCTCGGCCTTCCTTTCTCCACGGAGGGGCACTTCAGGTCCTGGGAGGGGGTGAGTCTGCTGCTCTTCCACCGTGATACCGAGATAGAGGCCCCTCAGGTGGAAGTTACTGGACTAGCAGGTGATCTCAAAGACACTCAGAATTGCCCAGCAAAGACTTCAGCTGCCGCTGCTGCAGGGTGTGGATGCTCCGACCCGGAGTGTTTCTTCCAGCAGAGGCTTTGCACCCTGCGAGGAGCTGGGGAGGTTGGCCACTGCCTGTCCTGCTCGAAGACTCCAGGAGCCACTTCTCTTCAACAAACTCTTGGTCCTCCTAGCCCTGCTGCTCAGCTGTCTTACGTCCATCCCAGATCAGGCCTACGTGGCTTCCCAGAGCCTCCCCCTTGGCCTTCCCCAAGAAGCCTGGTGTCAGAATCAGGAGGTGCGAGGAAGCAAGCAGAGTAGCTCCAGCTTGTGTCCATCCTGCCCTCTCATGCCTGTGGATTCCATTTATCATCATGGCGTCACCTACATTCTTTTATCAAAAGGCAGCAGGAGACACAGTGACTGGGGCTGCTGATGGAGCAGGCCCGCCTCCCTACTCCGCGGGAGCCCCCTGGGGTACAGGCTGGGGACCACCTCCCGGAGCTACCTCATTCTTGCAGGGTTTTACGGGGTCCCCTGCTGGTGCCCTCCCCACCCACCTGTCCACCCTGTGCTGTGGGACAGCCACAGGGACGTCCTCTCGGAAACTCCACCTGGAGCAGCAGCCTTTGGTCCCCTGCACTCTTGGCTCTTGGAACTTAAAAGGGAACAGGGTGGACCGTAGTTGGAATACACCACCCCAGGGTGCCACCTTCATGCAGGCAGGGTGCGAGCAGATGGCGTCATCAGCATCGATGCACCACGAGCGGTGGCCAGCAGAGAGTTCCCGGAGCATGGCGTCATTCACAGTCCAAAGAGGACACACAGCTCCATCTGAGGTCCTGAGGAAGGCTTCATGAGTGGATGGCTCGAGGCCTTGTGGGGAGAACACCTCCTCCGAAGCTGGCTCACCACCCACCAGGGGTGAGCCATGTTGGGCAAGCAGCCAACGGCTATTGCATGGGTGCCTAGGAGTTATCAGAGGACTGAAGATGAGGGGAGAGGGGGCCGCAGAGAAAGAGGGTTTCCTGGAGCTGCTTCCTCTGTGTGGCATCACCCAGCCTTGGTTCTGTCCCAGTGACGGCCCCCAGGCCCTGGCCTGATGCCTGCCACCCTGCCAGACCTACTGACCCCTGCCCACGGCCCTCTCAGCCTCTCCCAGTGCTGGGCTCGGGGAGGCCCAAGCGAAGGGGGCTGCAGACTCTTTGGAGGGTGCAAAAATGGGAGATACACTGTCCCATCCAGAGGGACCGGATGCTGCCTTGAAAGGGGGACAAGGACCGTGTCACCACGTGGGCTAAGATGACACGGAAATGAGGAGGACGCAGAAGCAAAATGGCTGAGAGCAGCTGGGGAGGAAGGGGTGTTGCTGCTGCTGTTTCTCGTTTCCCTGCATTTGAGAACCAAAGGCAAAGATTGCTTTAAAGAAGAAAAAGGAAGTAAAGTCCCTTGGAAGGCGGTGCCAGCTTCCCGGACCGCTGTGATAAATGGTGGGAAGGCCTCCGTCTCCCCTCGGGGCAGCCAGTGCTCTGTTACACTCGGGTTTCTCCACACATCTCACAATTTCACAGTCATTGAACCCATTTACCTGCCTCTCTTTGCAGCTATGCTTGGGGCCAAGGAGGGCTTTTCTTACTTGTCCTGCCCCCCCATCACCCCGTCTCTCCCACCTCACCCTCCGCTGCTCCCCTAAGGGCCTTTGAGGTGGGAAGAAGCAGGGGGACCCTGGATCTTGGAGACACACAGTGGGCTCAGTTCTGCTATTAGGAGAGGCCCAAGGCGTTGCAGGAAGGACATTCTGGCCCCAGATGCCCCAGCTCCATCAGCGCCCTCCCATGATGCCTCCCCTCCCGCCCAAGGCTCCCCATCTCTGAGTGGGAGCTGGGCTTTCCCACTGCCACCACCCACTGTAGTCCTGGCCACCAGCTTGTGCTGACCACTGCCCTCTGCCGGCCCAGGGTCAGCATTGCATGCTCCTGTCCCCCTAGTTTCCCAGATCCCGAGTCGGTGAGTCACCTGTACCCAGGAGCAGCCAAGGCACAGGTGTGTGAAAGACATGGGTGGGAGGGTGACGGGACACTGGGCCCAACCTGACCACCTCACAGAAAGAGCCACGGCCTGTTGTAGCCAGAGGGCGGGGCTCAGGCTTCTGAAGACTCAGCAGATGCACGGCCAGTTCTGCCTTGGTTTGGGGGCACAGACGGGCTCCCTGATGGTCAAGCCCAAGCTTGCTTCCTACAAGGAAGAGTGGAACAAGGGAGGAGGAGGACAGCCGGACGGCTTGGGAAGGGGCTGAGCAGTTGGGCTTCTCCAGGTCCTGGGCTGGGGGGAGAGGAGCCCCCACATGTCCCCCAAAAGCCCAAAGGCAGCTGCCCCGCTTTGTCCATCAGGAACGAGGGCACGTGCAGGCCAGACCAGGAGTCTCGGAGACCTGCCACCTCACTCCCCCTGACCAGCTGTTCGTCCCCAGACTGAAGGGGGGCTTCTGGTGTCAGCACTTGTTGGTGAAGCCCCAGGAACAAGCGCAGAATCACCTGCAGTCCTACACTTGGCTCAGAGAACACACTCTCATCAGAAATGGGCCTGCCATGCATGGGGTGGCCAGTCAGCTGAACCCCAGGTCACACATGTCCCCAGGCACACGAGGAGATGGTGGTTTCAAACCCACGTGTAGGATCGCCTGCCGTGTGCTTCCTCTCAACACAGGAATACAGAGCTGAGTCTAAGGGGCCTTTGAACAGGATACCCCCACACTCCTGCAGCCCTCCTGAACCCCCTCCCCTCCCCTCCTATCCCCTATGGCATCTGCTACCCTGGGGCCTGGCTGAGCGCAGGAGTTAGGGGAGCAGCCCTATCCTTCCAGAGAGGATGACTCAGGTGGCCACTGAGGCCAGCCACTCAGGAGTCTAGAGACAGACCTCCAGCCAGTGGCCTTGGCGAGGGCCAGTCCTCAGCCACAGCATGAAGCCTCAGGTGCAGTGAGCTCGCCTTGCTCACCGTCCTGGGTCCGGGAGGCACCAAAGCACTCCTTTGGTNACTGTATAGTCCATGGGGTCACAAAAAGTCGGACACGACTGAGCAACTTTCGCTTTCATGCCAACCCCTTGCCCCTCAAGCCCAGGCGGAGGCCAGTCAGGTTTATCATTCTGCTGTTGAGGGCTCCAGAGACCTCTGTGCCCAGAGGGGCACCCAACCTCCTGGCCTCACCCCCAACAGCCCCCGCCTGTCAGGTGTGCCTGGGGCCCAGCCCGGGTACTGGACCTCTCTGGGCCTGCAGCCCCCAGGCCCCGGGGCTGGGCCAACAAGGAGCCCACACTACGGGTAGCCAGTGAGCATTCCATCCTGGATTCTCCCAGTCTGTTCCTAGACTCTCTGTAAGATCCCAGCGAGTTCCTACAGGGAGGCTCAAATCCTGCGGTGACTTCATTCTGCCACGTGACTTGAGCCCCTAGCAGGTGCTGATGCCCACTCAGGGCTGGGGCTGCCCTGTGGGCGGGTAAGAGGGCAGCAGCCTGGGTTCAGCCCCGGCCGTGGAGGAGACTTGCACCCAGCCTGTGTTCTCTCCCTCTCTCCCATCTCCCGCTCCAAACTCTCCTTCCCCTGCCTGCCAGGGGCCCACTCCCCACTTCCGCCTCAAGTCCAGCAGACTCTGACCCCTGAACCCAGCAGCCCACCCCTCATGCCACCCTCAGGTGGGATTTGTCAGGTAAACGGGAGGTGGCCTCGGGATGGACCCAGCACCCACACCTGCCCTCTCGCCAGGCATCCATGACCCTTCCCTGGGGGCCAGGGCCCATTAGATTAGAATGAGACCCAGTGGGGTGCAGGCAGAATTTAGAATCACCAAGAGATAAGGATTCTACCCCCTCTAGGCCTGGGCCTGGCAGCTGCCAAACTTCTCTGAGCCCAGAGCCCCGACTTAAAGCAGCTGGTGTCGGGTCAGTTCACTCGGATACCATTCCAGTCCCTACATCATGGGTCTCAGCACACTCTGTCCCCACGGGCCACCCACGAGCACCCCCGGTCCCTGCAGAACCATCAGCCCACTCTGCCTGCACCCCAGCTGCGCCTCCTCCCTCCCTAGCCCTTGGCAGGGTTCACTGCCTCACTGTCTGGCTCCGGGTCGCCTCCTGAACGTTACGGGATGAAGGGGAAACTCCAGTTGCATGTACTGGAGGCCCCTTAGGACCTCAGCTGCCACCTTAGGGGACTTGATTCACAGCTTCCTGATCTGAAGTGCCGTGAGAGGGACAGGGCTACCCCTTGAGGGTTCCAGGCCAGCGATGGGCAGGAAGGTGTTAGCCGAAGCATCTGGGCCCAGCTGACTGGCATGTCCCAGGCAGGCAGAGGGACCTGGGGTCACTGCCTTCTGCACCCCACAGAGCCCAGTCCCCAAACAGCACAGGCAGCCGGCAGTACAAGGCCCTTCCTGGGCACTGCATCTCTGCCGGAGGCTCCTCTACACACCAGCACCCCACCTTTGAGGAAGGGCTTATCCACAGCCCTGTGTCCATGTGTGTGATTTGGGCTGGCTGTCAGCAGCTAGGGGCAGAGTTCGAGGCGGGAGAGCGAGGAACACTGGTGAGGCGCAGGTGGGGCAGGTGTCCTGGCAGGAGAAAGTGTCTGCACAGGAAGGTGGGGGCTACCCCAGCAAGGCTATGCACGTCCCTGCAGGAGGTGGAAAGGGCCCCCTTACCCCGGAGCAGAGGACCAGACGGAGGCAATGGGCAGCGGTCCCTGTGGAGAGCCAGCGAACCGGGCCGGCGGTCTTAACCCACCCTCTCCTGTCTCTCCCACCCCCATCTCTGTCTCTGCAGCAATTCGGAAAAATTTTAGACGTGGAGATCATTTTTAACGAGCGGGGCTCCAAGGTGGGTGCCGCCCAGAGGCCGCCACCATTACAGCGCCCGGCTGTAGGTCCCGCCAGGCTAACGTGTGAAATGTGCGTTTCCGCCCTGGAGAGCTCCGAGCCTGAGGACCCCTGAGCGACACGGGTGCTTGTACTCCCCGCTCCTCCGCCCGCCCCGCCCTCCCCACCCCGCTGTCTGTGTTGTCGCTGCGCTGCCGCGGACGCTTCCTTCTCTCTAAGCCGCCGAGACCTCTCTGTCTGCACTCGGACAGCCCCTACCCCTGGGCCTGGGCCCCTCCCCAGCCTGCGAGCTGCTCCCCTGGGGCCACTGGCCTTCCTGAAGCTGCCCCCCACCGGGGGGGCTTGGAGGGGGGATGGGAGGGTGCCAGCTCCTGGATGGGAAGATTCCCCCCCACCCTCGGGCTCCCCAGGGTGAAGATGGGTGAGGCTGCCCCCACTCTGGGTCCTTCAGAAGCCCAGCCTTGGGCACCACCCCCCTCCCAGGTGGGCTTAGGGCAACAGTCCTGGCCCCTGGTCAGGTCAGCATCTCTTTTTCAGCTTTGGCCTGTCCCCTCAGGTGCCAGGTGGTCAGCTCAGGCCGGGCTCAGGCCAGGCCAGCAGCTGCCCCTGCCAGGGACCGTACCCCTCCTGGGCATCCTGCCAGTGGTACCAGGACAGACCTCTGAGTCTCCTTCAACTCACCTGACTCAACCCCTCTCTCTCTCTCTACCCACCCCCCATCCCCCCCCCCACACCTCCTTTTTTTTTCCTTTTTCTCATCCTGTGTCTTTCTCTCCGTGTCTGTCCTTCTCCGCTCACAGGGTTTTGGGTTTGTAACTTTTGAAACTAGCTCAGATGCTGACCGAGCCCGGGAGAAGCTGAATGGGACGATCGTAGAGGGCCGGAAAATTGAGGTGCTCAGATAAGTGTGCTGCAGCAGGGACGCCCTTGAGAACTGCCTCTGGTCACCCCAGGGCCCCACCCAGCCCCGCCGCTGCCCTGCAGAGAGCCGGGCCAGGGTCCCCTGGCTGGGGCAATGCTGAGGCTGGAGCCGAGCCCACCACTTGCCGTCCCTCTTGGGTCTCCATCTCAGGCTCACCCAAGGGCCCCGCACCCTGCCCCCTCCCCCTCCTTCTCGTGGGGCTCAGCCCAACTCTGGGAGGAGCCCCAGAAATCATCTTTCTGAGGCTTGGCAGCTCCAAGGACCTCAACCAGCCCAGTCTGCCCCTAGTTGGGAGGGGATCATTAACCACTCCCCTGGCCACTCTCACCAAGGAGCAATGGCTGCCCCATTTGCCCCCTCCCCACGCTGCCCCATCCTGCTGTTTGCCCTTTGCCTTCATCCCCCAGAGAGTGGGCAGCAAGGTGCAGCCACGGCGGAGGAGTGGATCCAGCCCAGAGGAGCAGAGGGGAGAGGAGGCAGGGTCCTCTAACACTTAGCCAGCCTTTTCCCTGGGCCCGTGTGCACCCTGCTCAGTGCTGTGGCTCTGATGTCTGGGAGCTGGGCTTCCCGCACAGGCTCAGCGGTGAGGGCCGCCACCGAGGAGGATCAGTGGTCAGTGCAGAGCCACAGGAAGAGCGGTGGAAGGCTTGGGGGCGGGGGTGGGGGAGGCTTCTGGACGTGGAACGAATGCTACAGGCACTGACCAGCAACACTCGAGGCTGTGGCCCCAGGCCCCTGGGTCTCACACAGACTTGGGGGGAGGCAGTACGGCCCAAACGCCTCCCTCAAGTTCCCCACCTGCTCTCTGCTCCCTCCACAGAGGCCCTCCCCCTTCTTCCTACACCCCAGACTGGCCCTCTGGGCAGCCCGACCAGGGCCTTAGAGGTCTGGACAGTAGGACCCACTTGGTGCCCACCTGGTCCTCCCCCATTGGCCTTGCCCCCCCTCAACAGGCACATATGCCCCCCTTAGGAAAAACTCTCTGCTGGCCTTGAGGGAAGGGGTGCAGCCCCCACAGAGAGCGGTGGCCATCCCAGTGCCCATGACTAGGAGGGCCTTAGCAGCTGCCCACGGCAGAGACGTCTCAGGGGCCAGTCTGCTAGCTGCGATGAGAACACTTTGTGGAGAGTCCACCAGTCAGCTGCTCCCACAGCCGTGGGCTGCCAGAGAGAGGCTGAGCTTGGGATGTGGGGACAGCCGTGTACAGGGCAAGAGCCGGGGCCGGGGGGCTGGACGCGATGTCTGAGCCGAGGCTGGGGGCCTGGGCATCAGCCGGCGTGGGGCACAGCGGTGGCTCAGGGCCCATGGGTAGGGCGGGTGCCCGGGGAGGGAGAAGGACAGGCCGTGGTTGACGGGTCACCAGGCTGGTGGCAGAAGCTGTCCCGTGCCTCACCTGGGAGCCCCGGGGGCCTGGTCCCCAGCCCCCCGCCCCCTCCAAGGCGGCCACAGAGGAGAAGTTCAGAGCGGGACCAGGCGGCCAGTGGCCTGCAGGCTAATGCCCCCTTCAGCCTCTCCCTCTCTCTCTCTGGGCAGGTCAATAACGCCACGGCCCGGGTCATGACCAACAAGAAGACTGCCAATCCCTATACCAACGGTAAGGGGGCCCAGGACCCCTGGGAGGCTTCAGGGGCTGCCTGTGGGGACATGGGGCCCAGGCCGCTGGAGGCCGGCCTCCCAGGATGCTAAGCACCCCCTCTGCTGTGGTCCGAAGTGGGTGGGTCAGTGAGGCGGGGGAGACCGGGGACCACCCTCTTCCCACACAGCTGGTGAGACCCCCGTGGGGTGTCCAGTACCCAAAGGCCAAGGGCAGGCTTCAGGCGCAGGGGGAAGGTGGCCACTTCCTGGATTTCTCCTTATTTTCTTAGCGCCAAGGGAAGCCTGGGCTAGAGGTGTTCAGTATTTTAAGAGTGTGATAACAGACGGACAGTCGCCCTCCCCCAACCCCTGGCCTTGGAAACACTGAAAGGTTGAGGCCCAGTTGGCCAAGCGGCCTTGCCCATACCGACCTGGACCTGACTGTAAGCAGAGGTGGCCAGTCTTTGAAATGAAACTGCTGATGCTAAATGCTGGAAGCTGGGAGCCATGGAGGGCCAGCTCTTGGCTGGCCACCCTGTGCCTTAACTTCACCAAGCAAGGAACTAGTTTAGGTGTAGCTGGCACCTCACTGGGGCCTTTCTGAGTTCGTACCTCTTGCCAGGGAGCAGCAGCCTCGCTCCGTCAGAATGGGTCTCTGGCTTTGCTTCCCACCCCCCAAGCCCCAACAGGAGAGAGTGGACCAAGCCACCCCCGGACTCGCTTGTCCCGGTCTGATCAGATGTGCATGGAGTCGGGATGGGCCAGCACAGAAAGCCTGTGCCAGAACTGTGAGCAGACCTACCACCTGACCTGCCAACCCTGGGCCCCCACCATCTGACCTCCTGGAGCAGGCTGGGGCTCCAGCCAGACTCCATTTGGACAAGATTATTGTCACTCCCGTCCTGACTTTTTTTTCATTTATTTATTTTTAATTGAAGGATAATTGCTTTACAATATTGTGTTGGTTTGGGTCACACATCAACGTGAATCAGCCATAGGTATACATGTGTGCTTTTTTGAGGACTAACAAAGCTCAAATTCTTCCTAAAAGTCTGGAGGCTCCTGGGCTTTGACCTGTGCTGAGCCCATACTGGGAGACCTGGTTCTCAGAGCAGGAAGGGAAGCCGTAGATGTGTTTATAGGGCCAGGGTGACCATAGGGGCTGCACAGCCCCTCCTGAGAGCCACACACCCCTCCTGTCTGGCACACTTGAGGGTGCCAAGGAGCGTGGGATTCAGGAGGGAACCCATCCCTCAATGACTGCAACCTTGGCATGGATGGGCACAGAACTGAAGCCAGTCAAACGACAGAGAGTGGAGAGAGGAAGAAACCTCTGCCCACTCTGGCGGCAACCACAGTCTCATGTACACATCTTTGTGGATCTGGGCAAGAGTGAGCCAGCCCTGGGTTCCCTGCAGGTGGCCGTGAGGCCCAGTTCGTGGGCTCTGGTGACCAGGGCTTGACTTTGCTTAACGCTCTGGAGGACTCAGATTCATCGTTCGGTCAGAGAGGCAGAAGTTTCCACTGCAGGAAACAAAACTCTCAAGGTTTGACCGGATGCTACTATTTGCAAAAGAAACAAAGGATCCACCCAGGTGGGTGTCAGGCTGCCTCCATCATCTGGGGTCCCAGACAGTGAATTGGGGCCAGAGCAACAGGTAGAGGCATGCAGGATTCCAGAACTGGCAGAGGGAAGTGCCAGGACCATCCGAAGCAGCAGTGCAGACTCTCTGAAGGGACCAGAGGAGGTGCCGGATAGGACCTGGGGGCTGGACTGGGGTAGGCGGCTCAAGGACTCTGCACCATTCTGAATTTTTACTGAGAAGACTCAGTTCGGGCTTCCCAGGTAGTCCAGTGTCTGAGTCCACTTTGCAATGCAGAGGATGCCGGTTCAATCTCTGGTCCAGGAAGATGCCACAGGGCAACTAAGCCCGTGCATAACTACTGAGCCTGCACTCTGAAGCCCATGAGCCACAACTACTGAGCCCATGTGCCACAACTACTGAAGCCCCAGAGCCCATGCTCCACAACAGGAAAAGCCACTGCAGCAAGAAGCCTGCACACCGCAACTAGAGAGTAGCCCCCACTCTCTCGCAAGGAAAGCAAGCCCAGGCATGGCAATGAAGACCTGAAGTGAAAGTCACTCAACCGCGTCAAAGTCACTCAACCACATCCGACTCTTTGCGACCCCATGGACTATATAGTCCATGGAATTCTCCAGACCAGAGTGGGTAGCCTTTCCCTTCTCCAGGGGATCTTCCTGACCCCCAGGTCTCTCCCACATTGCAAGGAGGATGCTTTACCAGCTGAGCCACAAGGGAAGCCCAGTGAAGACCTAGCGAAGCCAAAAAAGAAATAATTGGAAAAAAAAAGACGACAACTCAGTTCTTGGGATTGAAGGTCTTCTCAGAAGAGGAACTATTTCTTCCCACCTGATCTGGTATTTATAGAAGATTCCAGAGACACAACAGTAACATTTAGGTACAAATGTCTGTGCTGGTCATATGATGGTGAACCAGGGATGGATGGCCAGGGATGGACGGCAGTCTCACAAAAAGTGTGGAGAACAGGCCGCCCTGGGAGGAACCAGACCCGGAAACTCTGTCCTGTGCACTTCTGAGCTGTCGGCCCAGCAGTGAGGCTGTCAGACTCTGGGCCTGGGGGTGTGGAGCTGGACCTGGTGGGAAGTGCTGCAAAGACCCCAAGAGCTGAGGGGCCAGAGACTGGGCCTGGTCAGACGGGTTGACCCTGCCCTCACTTCCTGACCGCCTGGAGATGGTGAAGTTTCTGCCGACTGGTTTCCATCCCCGGGGCCTCAGGTGGGAGCAGGCCTTCACCCCTGCACCTGGGTCTCTGATGGGTGAGGAAGACCACCCAGGAGGAGCCAGCCCACCTGCAGAGAGGAAGAGGCTGGGGCCCAGGGAGTGGCCAGGAGTGTGGTCTGAGCTGGTTTGGGCTTCCCTGATGGCTCAGATGGTAAAGAGTCTGCCTGCAATGCAGGAGACCAGGGTTCGATCCCTGGGTTGGGAAGATCCCCTGGAGAAGGAAATAGCAACGCACTCCAGTATTCTTGCCTGGAGAATCCCCATGGACAGAGGAGCCTGGCGGGCTACAGTCCATGGGGTTAAAAAAGAGGTGGACACAACTGAGCGACTAACGCACACTGCCACTCACCAGCCCTGTAACTGGAGGCTGCTGTGCCTCTGTGAGACTCTATTTGCTCATCTGTAAGATGGGAGAGGGTGACACCTTCCTTGTTGGGTGGGCCTAGAACAGTGTAGCATGTTCTAGGAATGCTTGCTGTCATTCTTATCATCCCGAATCCCAAAGCCCTTCCTCCCCACCTCCTCCCTCAACAGCCCTGCCACCAGCTGCTTTGGGGGAAAACAGACAGAGGATAGCAAACTCAGCCCTGGGGAAGGGAGCGTTTCAGGAGCTCTGGCCCAGGACGGACATGGGCAGGAGATGGAGGAGGTCACCATGGCTGAGGCCAGGCACCTTTACCGCAAACTCTGACCCTCCTGGAAGGCAGCCAGGCGCCTGCATGATGCAGCTCCCAGGAGACTGGGCTGTCAGGCGCTGAAGCACCCAGACCACCAACACCCCCATCCCAGCTGCGACCTACAGACGCTTGCATAATAACAGGTTCCACTTTCCCTCTTAATACTCTTCAGCAGACATGCAGACTCCAAGCTGCTGGGGCCAGTGCCCCAGGACAGGGGAGGCCTGGGGCAGGCTGGGGAAGGCCAAAATTTGAAAAGAATCAAGACACTAGGCAGATGGTCAGGAGTGACCGCGTGTCTGTTAGGCAGCAGAATGCACCCAGCCAGTGAGGCTGCAGCCTTCTAAGCGGGGCTTGAGGTCTGTGCTCCTGCCTCATCTGTCTACCCTGGTTGCAGAAGGAGGGGTCCTGCTTGTTCTCTGCGGTGGCCACAGCCTGGGACTGTCCCAGTGGGGCCCATCCTGGAGTCTTCAGGGTTCCCAGACATAATGTGAGGTGGGGAGAGAATGGGGAAGACAGTGATTGGGTTTTTCTGCTTCTCTTCTAGGCTGGAAGCTAAATCCGGTGGTAGGGGCAGTTTATGGTCCTGAATTCTATGCAGGTAAAGGCTGGGAGCTGGGGCGTGGGCTTGGGGAGGGCCTGTCGGAGTATTCAGGTCTTCCTGCGTGGGAGGACGCGGCCAGGGGCGTGGCCAGGCAGAGGCGGGGCGGGGCCAGGCAGAGGCGGGGTGGGGCGGGGCCGGACAGGAGGTGTGGCCAGGTGAAGTGGTGGTCAGGCTCCCAGCCCTCCCGCCTCCTCTCCTCTAAGCTGTCAGCTGTCCCTCTCACACGGTTCCCTCTCCGGCCCCCTCTCTTGCAGTGACGGGGTTCCCCTACCCCACGACCGGCACAGCCGTTGCCTACAGGGGCGCGCACCTGCGGGGTCGGGGCCGGGCTGTGTACAATACGTTCCGGGCTGCACCGCCCCCGCCCCCCATCCCGACTTACGGAGCGTGAGTACCAGGCGGGCACAGGGAGGGAGGCTTGGAGAAAGGCCCAGGGGGCGTGGGGAGGGAGGCGTGGTACAGCCAGGGGAGCTAGGCAGCCTTTCCAGAACCGCGGGGGCGGGGGTGGGGCTTGAACCCCAACCTTCACACTGCAGTCGCCTCCACATCAGTACTGCCCCCCATCCCGACTTACGGAGCGTGAGTACCAGGCGGGCACAGGGAGGGAGGCTTGGAGAAAGGCCCAGGGGGCGTGGGGAGGGAGGCGTGGTGCAGCCAGGGGAGCTAGGCAGCCTTTCCAGAACCGCGGGGGCGGGGGTGGGGCTTGAACCCCAACCTTCACACTGCAGTCGCCTCCACATCAGTACCCCCAACCCCACCCTGCTCCGGGATCTCAGGGTCACTGGCATGTGGGGGACGTTCAGAGCCCCAGCGCTTTGCCCATTGCTTTCGTGGGTCGTGGTCGGCCCTGGAGCTCAGTGGGCCTTCTCCAAGCCCTCCCTGGTCCCTTCCCCCGGGGCCCGGGGCCCTCCGACCCTAATAGGGGGGTCCAGCTGCCTGGGGTGGAGCAGAGGGAGGGTAAGTAAGCAAGGTGGGCCGATGGGCCCCTGGGTTTGTGGGAGAAAGGAGCTGACCAGCAAGGGTGTTACTCTATTGTTATACCAAAACAGGGCACTGGATCAAACGCTTGTTAAAATGCCAGTCCCATGGGCAGGGCTGGCACCCTGCCCCCTCCCTCCTCAGCAGACTCCGGAGCCGGCCTACCCCACCTCTCCAGCGTTCCCACCACTCTCTTGTCCGTTTGCTTCCAGGGTCGTGTATCAGGATGGCTTTTATGGTGCTGAGATTTATGTAAGTGCAGCCCCGGGGAAGGGAGGGTAGATGAATCCGAGGTCTCATGTGTCTCGATGAACAGTCAGTGTCCCCCACTCCCTGCCCCGCTCCCCCCACCCCTCCCATCCTGGGAGCCCCGGAGAGCAGCCTCAGCTAAACCTGGGTTATCCCGGCTCAGGGTGGCAGTAGTAATGGATTCCCAGCAGCACGACGAGCCATGCGTGTCTTCTCTATTTCACAAGCCGTCGGTTGTACAATGGGGGCCATGGGTGACGCTCCCATATCCCTAACCACATTAGGGTCACTGAGAGGGCCCCCACGGGCACCCCAGATCCATTGCAGAGGCTCAGAGAATGACCGGGAGGTAGGGGCTCCAGGGCAGACCGCTGGATGGAGTCCTGCCTTCTCTCTTCTTTCACGGGACATCACTTGCTGCTTCCTCTAGCTCGGAGCCCTTGCTGACAACCCCCATCCCCCACTGCCATCCTGGGTGGTGGTCACCTGTAATTCAGCCATCCATTGGTCAGGGCTAAGATGTGGTCTGAGTTAATGCCCTTTGCCCCTGACCCATCCCAGCATCCAACACCCAGAGTCACCCATGGGTTCTCCGTGCCCATCAGCATCAAGGTTGGGAGTACACTGGCTTGGTGTCAGATCTGTGAAGATCTACTCTGTGCCAAAGCTTTGAACACAGCCAGACATATAATTATTGGTGCCCACCCCTGTGTTGAATGCACAAATGGACACATGAATGAATGAATGAATGAAGGAGGTGTATGGACACCCTGCCCTACCTTGAACCATGCTTCTAGACTAGACCACAAGCCAGGTGCTCTCAGGCGTATGCCAGCCACCCCTCACCTGCCCAAGGTGAAGGCTGAAAGGCTGTGTTTGCCCCACTAAGCCCGTGTGCCGTGTCCCCCCCCCACCTTACCTTGCAGGGAGGCTATGCCGCCTACAGATACGCTCAGCCAGCAGCAGCTGCAGCCGCCTACAGTGACAGGTACCTGGGGAGGGGTGGAGAGCTGGGTGGGATGGGGAGGAGAAGATGGACGGGTCACAGGGCTGGGCTGTGACGGACAAGAAGCCTTACCCACCACTCCGGGCCTGGGGGTGCTTCCCCCTGGAGGAACATAGAGTCTGGACAAAGGAAAGCAAGTCTTCATGGGCTTAGAGACCCCAAGCCGGCAAGCCCCAAACTTCTGTAATCACTTCCTGCCTTCACAACATGAGAGGCCTTGGGACCACCCCCCCCCCCATATCTGGGTAGCAGACAGTTCCTCTGATGCCCAGCCCTGGAGGCCTGACCCCCACCACCACCACCCTGAGCTCTGGAGCCCTGAGTGAGACGGTAATCAGGAGCCTTGGTTTCTGCCCGGGACACCACTGACCCTTCTCAATGCTCCCAGGCCTGAGAGCCTTCAGCCCCGAGAAAGAAAGGCAGAGCATGTGCTCAGCTGCGAGTACATCCAGAGGCCCGAGGAGGGTTCTCTCCTGTTTTGAGGGCCGGCCCTGGGGTGAGGGGGCTGCCTTGATGCCTTTCCCCGTGGGCACTCAGCCTGTTGGCCTCTGCCTGCTGCTTGGGGAAGCGTGCAGGCTCCAGAGCCGGGAGTCCAGTGGGCACTTCGTGGAGTAGCCGTTGCTCTTGGCAGTGGCACTGAAGGCGCTTTGGCCCTCCCTTCCAGGGGCAGGCGGCACCCTCAGCATCTGGCCCCTGGGCTTTGTCTGGGGCACAGCAGGCCAGCACTCGTGGTCAGCACTCACTGGATGTGTTCAGAGGGTGGCCGGCTATGTTCCCTCCAAACCAGCAGGAAGGAGGAAGAGGGGGTGTGCAGGGGAGGGCGGGGCCTTGGGGTGCTGTCTCCAGGGAGGCGGGAGACCCTCACGTGCCCCGTCTCCCCCCACCCCCCTCCCTGTGCTCACCTCCCCAGTTACGGCAGAGTCTACGCGGCTGCTGACCCCTACCACCACACCATCGGCCCCGCAGCGACCTACAGCATTGGAACCATGGTAAGGAGGCCCAGGCCAGGCTGAGGCCGGGGTGGGTGGGCAGGCCCTTAGGGAAATGCCCCAGACCTCGACCTGGTGCCTGGCAGGACAGGGGCCTGGATCTGAGCTGGGCAGGACCTGCCCCTTTGTGCCCTGGTGGAGTCAGAGGGAGGTGGGCCCACCCAGACAGGCAGCTGCCCGGTAACGTCGTCTGGGAGACCTTCTGGTGTGACCTGCTCTGCTGAGCCCTGTAACTAAAGTCCGATCATCCCGGCCTTCCACTACCTGGACCGGGAAAACCAGACGGAACCTCCTGGCGGGGGCGCCAGAGGCAGCAGGGCCTCCACTTCCCCTCGTGTGGGCGTGTCCGTGCCTCTGTGTTCTGTCACCCCCTCGCTGTACCTTTCCTCACCACCCACGCCCCTGCTCCGTGACCCTCCATGGCTCCAGCTGGGCCTGCGGGTCTCTCCTGGGGAGGCGGGGCCTCTGCCCTGGGCTTCAGCGGGGGGCCGAGGGGTCGCACTTCTGATGGGCCTGCTGAGGCCCAGAGGTGCGCGGGCCTGTGTGTCTGTGTGTGTGTGTATGTATGGCCAGCTCTTGACACATACGGCCCAGCTCACTCTGTACCCCGAAATCTGCTTCCAGTGAACACCTACCTTCCAGGCCCACCCCAACCCCCCAGCCCCATGGGGTATTAATGTCGGTTTTTAACTAGCTTGGCATCCAGCATCAAAGATGAAAACGTTTTGGGCAGGGTAAAGAGGGAGGAGGTTCAGAGACAATATGGATTTTTTTTTTTCATCTCCCTTGTTTTTGATTACTCCCTCCCAATTTTCGTTTTGTCTTTTTTTTTTTATTTATTTTTAACGAGCCTCAGACATCCCAAGCAGCCGTGGGTCCCAGGCCTCTGGGTGGAAGGACAGGCTCAGGCCCACTCCCAGATGAAGGCCCCAAAACTGGCTTGTGGGCTTCTTGGCTTCAGAATCGCCAGGCCCTCTGCGAAGCTGTTAGCTAAAAGCTTTTGTTAATTCACAGAGGGTTCCCTTTTATGTTTTCTTTTATTTTTTTAAGATTTTCTGTGTTTTTCCCCCCAACTTTTCTGCTCTGGCACTTGCCATTTTCTTCCTTTCACTGGGGAAGCTGGTGGGTGGGGCAGGAGTTTCCTGCGTAGGTCTCCCTGACCCAGGGGAGCCCTGGAACACAGGAGAGCGAGCGTGAGAAAGGCCTGTCCTCCCAGCTGGACAGAGGAGGCACAGGGACCCCAGAAGGCCCCTGGAGCTGGATGAGCAGACGCAGTCCTTCCTGATAGAGCCAAGGCCCCAGGAACCCTGACTAGAGGCCCCTCTCCCTTCCGGCGCCTGGAGGGGCTGAGGCCTGCCCCCCAGCAGCCCCGAAGGGCATGGAGGAGGCAGGGCTCCTGCTCCCACCTCCCCCAGATGACAGACGATGGAGGAAGCGGGCAGGGAAGGGTCAGGCCTGAGCCAACAAAGTGCCCAAAAGACATCTCAGACCTCATTATCCAGAAGCTCCGTGGCCGGTGACCCCAGCACCTCTCTGACCCCAAGACCACCAACCACATCGGAAATAGGCCCAGCACCCCTCCGGCTGCCATGACAACCAGCGTCCATTCTCCCCAAGGCAGAACGGAAGGAGGGGGGACAGAAGACGGGATGTAGCTGTTTCTCTTTTTGTTTTTCTTTTTTTTTTTTTCTTTTTGCTTTCCCCCTCCCCTCCCGAAAGGTGGTACTGATTGGCTGTTTTTCATCTTTGATGTTGCAGGCTAGCCTCTGCCGAGGAGGGTACAGCCGCTTCACCCCCTACTAGCAAGAGGCCCAGCCCCTAACAGCATTCACTCTGACTGCCTAGTACACACCAAACCCAGCAGTCCAAAAGCAGGCACAGCCACTCCGAGGACAGTGCACCCCTCCCGGTCAGCGACACGCGCCGCTGACTTCCGCGACTCTTTAAGTCCATAGGTTTTACCTCCGGCCAGCTGGTCTCCCCCCACGATGGCGTGTGTGTCTTTGACCATGGTCACCCCTGTATGTCTGAAACCTTGGTTCCTATTTTGATTCTGTTGATGTTGTGCCCCACCGCACCCCCAGCCCTGAGCCATTTCAGTTATAGGACGCACAAAGGGGGAGGGGCTAGGCTGCCAGAAGACCTCTTCTCAAGACTAGCAATAGAGCCCGAGAGAGCCATGCCCACTCTCCTGTCGCCTGTCCCCACCCCGCCCCAAGGAAGACACCAGTCCAGCCTCCCCAGGAAGCCACCCCAGCCAGTCTGGCCACAGCCCTGCCCCTGCCCCTGGGGTTCAGGCGGCGAGGGCTCTTGTCTGTCTGCCTCACTTGGTGGGTTCCCAGCCTTGACAGTGGTCACTCCTGACCTTCACCCAGCTAATCTCAAGAGTAGCTGTCTCTGCCCTCCTTGTCTCCATTCAGCTAAACTCACGTTTCTGATTAAATCTGACTGATGTTTCCTGCTGAAGTTGTCACAAGTCACGGGGGAGCCACACCAGCCTCAGGGGTTCCTTAGCCTCTGTTATAAGAAACGAAAGAGTCTAAAAATGGTCAGCCCTGCAGTGCCTGGAGGCCCTCCCTTAGCTTGTCTGCCCCTCTGCCCACACTCGTGAGTCTCTCCAATCCGGCCACACTCTGGAGACGGGGTCCCTGCCAGCCTGGCACCCTGGTCTGTATTTGAGTGCAGCCCTGCCTTCCCTTCCCCAAGCTTGAAATGTTCTTTTCTGGGTACATTTCTGGAAGGGGAGTCTGAGCGAGAGAGCAGGGCAAGGCGGTGCTCACTGTCCAGCCCCTCTGGCAGGACAGTGCTTAGCACCCACCTCCTGTCCGGAGAAGCTCGGGGCTCAGCTCTGCTGCAGGGCTCTGGGGCCTGCAGGTAAAGCTGACACGGCTGGGGGAGCTTCTGGAAGCTTCATGTACAGCCCTGGCACCTCTGTTACAGGAGAAAGTGGCAAGGTCAAGGAGGCCCTGGGCTCCTATGTGCCAGAGCTGGCTCCCGGGGGGTATGGACAGCCAGCTAGAGGGTGCAGGTCCCCACCAGCCAGGGCGTGAGCCTCCACCCACCCCACCAGCACATTGTTTCCGTTGGCAGGGTGGGCAGGCCTCTAGAGGGTACCCAGCCAGCTCACCTCCACTGCCTGAACGCCCTCTCAGCTGCCTCATTCCAGAACCCCACCATGGCCCATGCAGCGCTGTCCACCCACCATGCCCTGACCTCTGTCCTCATCTGCCCCGAGCAGCCAGGCCCTGCCCACCCAGGTCTTAGCAGAGTCTACCAGTAGCTTCTACCAGCTGGGCACACTGCGTCTCTTCCGTCCCCGCCACCCCATGGTCCCAGATCCTGCTCCCCCCACCCCCCACCCCGTAGCACACCCGGCAGTTGCTTCTGTGAACTGCAAGTCCTGCCTTTCTGTTTCTGTTGTAGTGAAAGCTTCTGCCGTTTCCTTCTTGGACCATGAAGGGCAAAAACAAAACAAAAAAAATCACAAAAAAAAATTCACAAAACAAAAAACAAAATAATAAAAAAAAAAGATGTTCAGATCCAAGCAACAAAAACAACCAACCAAACCGAGAAGCATCCACCACGTCCGAGTCCGTGAGCCCGCGAGCCGCCGCACCCACCGCAGCGAGGGAGCAAGTCTGCGGGAAGATGGGGGGTGGAGGGGTAGGGGGGCGCCTCATTTTCTACCAAGTCTTCCTTCTGGGCCCCACTCGGGGCAGCGTGGGGCCAGTGGCGAGAGGATGCAGGCCCGAGCGGGAGGAGCGGCCAGCAGGACTTGACCTTGGCTGCTGACGGTGCCAACGGAGGGAACGGGCGCGGGGAGGGGGTTGGCTTCTCATCCCAGGGCTTCGGCTGTGCCCGGTCACCACCCCACCCGTGTCTCCTGCTCTGGGCCCCAGCTACCCCTCCTGCCTCACCGCCAACACCCGTGTCCTGCAAACCTGAGGAAGAGGAGGTGGCAGGGACCGACCAGCAGCAGCCCTGGGCTCCGAACCCAACACCAAGGGCTGATGTCTTTCCAGAACTCCGGGGCACCCAGGGCCCCTCCACGTCAGGGGTGCTCCGGCTGCCCGGCCAGGAGGTGGGGGCCTGCAGGCTGAGGGCTTGCTCGGACTGGTGGGGTTCTGGTTCCCTTTCTGGAGGGGGTCTTGGTTCTGGCCCAGGGGAGGGAAGGCCAGCCTCACCGCTGCGGCTGGAACAGAGGGACGGGACTGGCCAGCGCCTGGCTGCACGGTGAGGTTGGGGTCACGGTGCTGTGGTCTAGACGGCACGTCCGAGCAGGGAGAGCGAGGGGGCAGGGGAAGGCCTGGGTGGTCTGCGGCCCTCTTCCCCTGCTCCCAGATCAGGTCCCAGGGTGGCCGCAGACAGTGGGCAGCAGGGAGGAGCCCCTGGCCAGGCAGGGAGAGCTGGAGTCGGGGAAGCAGCAGAAAAGAACAAAAGATGTAGGCTCCCAACATGGCTCCACTGTCTCATGAAACTTAAAAGGTAAAAAAAAGAAAATACACCTCACTTTATATTCAGCATCAGCTCCTGAAGCTACTGAGACGAGTCTCCTTTTCTATTCCCAGTGTACATAGCCCCGCGCCGCCTCCGGCTTCGTCCTCTGTACAGGCCCCTCGACCCTCTGCTGTTCTGGGCCCTTTCCTGCTCCGCACCCCCCGCCCCCGGCCCTGCGCCCCCCGCCCCCCAGGACTGCAGCCAGGCCCCAGGCTTCCTTTCTTACCATTCTGTATGCTTCCAAGGTGTGACCATTTAAATCAACCGTATTATTATTATTAAGATTATTAATAAAGATTTTTCTTCGAACCAGGACGACTCTTTTTGATTGGCCGGCCCCCTGGGCACAGAGGACCAGGACAGGCAGCTTCTTTCTCCCAGGAAGCCAGACGGCCAGGGGGAGTCAGAAGACCCTTCTGGGAGAGACTCTAGCAACCCCCATCCTCTCCTCCAGACTGTTGTCTCCTCCAGCCCATCCCGCATCTGGAGGCAGGGCTCCTAGCCTGCGGGTAAGGTCTGTGAAGTGACCGGCAGGGTATAAGGCGGCAGCCCCACCCCGCCACCCCACCACCACCCCAACTGGCCGCCGCTCCGCGGTTACTGCCCCACATGGTCCCTGATGGGGCCTGACCGCAGGCAGACCCCAGCCCGCCCCCCACCCCAGTGGGGCGTCTGGATGAGAGAGGGCAAGCTGGGCGGTTGAGGCTGCTGCACTCGGGGCCAGCCGTGGTCCCGAGGAACGGAGCTGCTTAAAGGTAAGCCCCCTCTTCACCACCCCTGTGAGCCCCCAACCCTGGCGGGATGGGGTGGAGGAGAGTGGCTGCCACCCCCCACCCCCACCCCGAGGAGAGGAGGAAGATCTGGGAGGCGAAGCAGCAGAACTCAAACCAGCAGCCTGAAAGCCGTGGGCTGGGGGCTGCGATGGGCGGCGGACTCCAAACCCAACCACACTGCCCCTTCCACGTCTCGCCAGGACCCGCGCTCTTCATTTTTCACAGCGCCGGATAATTTATTTCAGGGCGATTACACACACCAGGGGGGCACAGGCTTAAATGCCGACATATTAATTTTCCTACATACGAGCCTTTACGTCGGCGGGACTGGGGACCGTGCTCTAGGGGAGCCGGGGCTGTGCGATCCCTCCGCACGCCACGCTCTGCTAAACCCCCTTACCTCTAATTGCTTGCTCACCAGACTGTGAGAAAATAATTGCCACTATAAATTTTCCCTCCTTCTCTGCATAAAATATTCAGAAAACCAGTACTTAAAAAAGGAAGAGGGGGGTGCTCCTGAAATAAGAGCAGCAGGGCATCACAGCTGTGCTGCCCACTTCTGGGCACCTGGCTGCGTGCCCCCCGACCCCCATCCCTGGGGCGGCAGGGGCAGGCAGGAGCCCTCACCCCCAGTGCAAAATGGGGAGGCTCAAAACATTTCCAGGAAAAGTCAAGGGAGCGGTTCCCCAAGCCCGACAGTCTCCTGGGAGAACTGGGGGTGCTGGGAGGCCTGTTCAGGGTCAGACACTGGAGGTGGCTTCCTGGCCTGCCGGAGCCATTGTCCCCTCCGAAACAAACCTCTTCCCACCCTGGGACTGATCTGGGCCGCACACGTGGGGCGTGAAGAGTAAAACGTTCCCAGTTAGGAAAGACCTGGAACCTGAGTTCCTGCGTGGGGCTGTAAAAGGGGCACGTGGGCACCTGGGAAGCAGGGCAGGTTGAGACAGAGGCCATTGTCCACCCAGAAGGAGACTCCTATGTCCTGCGCGTGCAGGCTCAGTGGCTAAGTCTGAGTGTCTGACTCTTCAGCGACCCCGTGGACCGTAGCCCCCCTGTCCTCCTGTCTGCGGGATTTCTCAGGCCGAGAGTACTGGAGTGGGTTGGTATTTCCTTCTCCAGGGGATCTTCCCGACCCGGGGATCAACCCCACCTGGGCCCTGTGTCTCCTGCTTGGCAGGCGGATTCTTTACCACTGAGCCACTCTGTCCTCTCCCAGTTCCGAGGGCCAGGGCAGACGCAGTGTGGCTGCAGTGCCGCCTGGCGGCCTCTCCCTTCCCTGCAGCCTCAATCAAGTCTGCTGACCCCGAGCTGGCATAGGAGGCCCACCCTCCAGCTGGGAGGTCACCCCAGAGTGTCCTGGCCCTTGGCATCATCCACATCTCGTAGCACAGAGGGGAGGACAAGAGGAACAGGGAAGTAACACCCCCATCGCTGGCCTATGGGGCCTGGAGGTGAGAGACCCCCAAGAACAAGGGGCAGACGGCCTTCACCAGAGGGCCACAGCAGAGCTCACTTGGGCCTCAAGAGGGGAGGGGAGCAGGGTTCCCCGAGGCTGCAGGGCCGAGATCCCTCCCAGGAAGCCACCCACATGTCAAAGGGGAGCTGTGTGGCAGGAGGCGCTGTCTCTGGCTCGATGACCCCCGCCTCATCCCTGTGCAGAACCGCTCGGCAGCCTCAGCTTGGGCAGAGGATGGAGGGAGGTGCTGAAGAGAGAAGGAGCAGGAGGAGGGACCACAGTGGAGAGCGCTGTGGCCCCCGCGCTGTGATGCTCTGGGCTAACACTTGCTCGAGGGACCGGCTGAGCAGGAGGGTGTGGAGGCAGGAGGCGACCCAGAGCCCCCACACAGGGCTGGGGGCTGCTGGGTGCAGCCCAAAGGGCCTTCCTGGGCGCTGCCCAGCCACCTGCTGCCCAAGCTCCCTGGGCTCACTAGCTCCCACCTACTACCCAGAAGAGACGAAGCAGGACCCAGGGCCAGTGGGGATGTTCCAGAAGTGGCTCTGGCCCTGGGGAACAGTACACCAGGAAAGCCAGGTCACCAGTGGTCTGGCCCTTGTGCCCGCCCTGCTGGGGGCTGGTGTGACCTGGCACAGCCTGGCTGGGGGCTCCCACGGCTGGGGTAGAAGGCACCACAGGAGTGCTCCCAGACCTGCAGGGGCTCCTGTTCCTATGCTACCACCCCCCCAATCCCAGCTCTGCACCCCCATCATGGCCCCTCTATCTCATTCCCACCCTTGGAAGCATCTCAGGGCCCTCCTGCCACTATGAAGCTCCTTCCTAATTGTTCCAACTGCAGGAATAAAAGGTCACCATTGTCAGCATAAGTGTCTCTCAGCCTATTAGGCAATACCCTTTATGGAATTCTCTAGGCTAAATGTTCCCAAATTTTTTCACTTGTACCTAGTATAGTATACTACTGTACCTGGTATAGTATACTACTGAGAGAGATGAGACCAAGGCTGGGGTGGGGCGGGGTGTCCATTCACCCCTGGGAATTATCAACTCAGCAAACCGACTTCTCAGCTTTCCTATTGCAATGCCCCAATGAAGAGCCACAGCCTGCTCGCCCACGGTCTTCTCGCCCAGCCCTGGGGACCCGGGTCTTTCCCCAAACACTTGTGAGGCCCCAGCGCAGAAGAAGCCTTTAGCCTTGAGATAGGAGACTCTGCTTTAATGTTCGCTCATGTGCGGGGCATGGAGTAGAGCATGGCCGCCCTGCCCCACTCGGCCCGAGGCACCAGGAACCCCTCTTTGGGGACAGGCTCCACCAGGAACTCCACACGGCCATCCTGGCCAGGCTCCGCGGCTGCCACTGCCAGGTCCACTATCCGATACCGGTTGACAAAAGCCAGGCCCAGCAGCCTGGGCCTCCCCAGCTCCGAAGGCCCGCTGCCGGGAGAGCCACCTTCCGATCCTTGGCAGCAGTGGATCCGGAAGCACCGGACACGGGGAAGGAGGTAGGCCCAGTGGAGAGTGCAGCTGAGCTGGAGCCCAGCGGGGCCGCCCTCCCGCTCGGAGGCGGCCAGCTGCCAGCGCACGTGTGAGACCGTCACGGCCTGCACCTGGGGGAGCGGCGTCAGCAGGCTGTGGGCATCCACCACCTGGCAGAAGAGACAAGACTAAGCTCAGCCCGGAAGACTAGGACAGGTTGGGGGAGGGGGGCGGGGAGGGCGCCTGGCCCTGCACGGTCCCAGCCCTGGCACCCCTGCCCCAGTTCCCCTCTAAGCC